ATCCCAGGCTTTGGGTCATAAAAAGTTGTTCTCTTTTCTTTTTCACAGGAACATTGATTGTCCTACACCTGTTATCCGGCTTTCTAAGTAACACACACATACTGGGATTGGTTGGGTGGGAAGGCCACTTGACGCTATAGGTGCACTAGGCACAGATCGAGGTAGCTACTCGGCTGACATCCCTAGTGGCCCAGTCTCTGCTATCCCCAGACTTCCTCTAGTAATGGACCCTTCCCACCCTCCCTAGCCATAAGACCTATGCTTGGCCAACCAGAGGTCTTCCCTGGGACTTTCCTAAGTGGTGTTGGCAGGAAAGAGCCTCCTTCCACACAGGTTGTTAAGAAGAAGGATATAAAACAGAAGAGCCCATTAAAATAAGAACATAAATCCACTAATGAATTAGTGAGTAAATGAATGAATGAAGGAATGAATGTTTAAAACAAAGTGAATACAGTCATGAATTGCTTAACAACATGGATATTCTCTAAGAAATGCATCATTAGGCAATTTCGTCATTGTGCCAGCATCATAGTGTGCATTACACAAACATAGTTGGTATAGCCTACTACACACTTAGGCTATATGGTATAGGTCTATTCTTAGGCTACAAACCTGTAGAGCATGTTACTGTACTGAATACTGTAGGCAGTTGTAACACAATGGTAAGTGTTTGTGTATCCAAACATAGAAAAGGAAGAGTAAAAATACCATATAAACGATTAAAAAAATAAGTACACCTGTGTAAGGTACTTACCATGAATGGAGCTTGCAGGATGGGAAGTTGCTTTGGGTAGGGCAGTGAGTGAATGAGTGGCATGTGAATGTGAAGGACATTACACTCCTGTAGACTTTATAAACACTGCACACAGGCTGAGCGTGGTGGCTCACACCTGTAATCCCAGCACTTTGGGAGGCTGAGGCAGGCAGATCACGAGATCAGGAGATTGAGACCATCCTGGCTAACATGGTGAAACCCCGTCTCTACTAAAAATACAAAAAATTAGCAGGGCGTGGTGGCAGATGCCTGTAGTCCCAGCTACTCGGGAGGCTGAGGCAGGAGAATGGCGTGAACCCGGAGGCAGAGCTTGCAGTGAGCCGAGATCACACTACTGCACTCCAGCCTGGGCAGCAGAGCGAGACGCCCTCTCGAACAAAAAAAAATAAAAAATAAAATGAAAATAAACACTGCACACTTAGGCTATACTAAATTTATGGAAATATTTTTCTTCCATAATAAATTAACCTTATCTTACTATAACTATTTTACTTTATAAATTTTTAAATTAGAAACATTAAATTTGGTCAGGCGCAGTGGCTTATGCCTATAATCCCAACAATTTGGGAGGCCGAGGCAGATGGATCACCCAAGGTCAGGAGTTCAAGACCAGTCTGACCAACATAGTATAACCCCATCTCTACTAAAAATACAAAAATTAGCTGGGCATGGTGTTGCATGCCTCTAATCTCAGCTACTCTGGAGGCTGAGACAGGAGAATTGCTTGAACCCAGGAGGTGGAAGTTGCAGTGTTGACCCGAGATCATATCATTGCACTCCAGCCTGGGCAAAAGAGTGAAGCTCTGTCTGAAAAAATAAATAAATACATAAATTTTATTTATTTAATTTAATTTTTTTTTTGGGGGGGACGGAGTCTCGCTCTGTCACCCAGGCTGGAGTGCAGTGATGCAATTTCGGCTCACTGCAAGCTCCTCTCCCGGGTTCATGCCATTCTCCTGCCTCAGCCTCCCAAGTAGCTGGGATTACAGGCACCTACCACCATGCCCAGCTAATTTTTTGTATTTTTAGTAGAGACAGGGTTTCAGCATGTTGGCCAGGATGGTCTCAATCTCCTGGCCTTGTGATCTGCCCGCCTCGGCCTCCCAAAGTGCTAGGATTACAGGAGTGAGCCACTGCGCCTGGCCTAAATTAAAAAATGTTAACCTTTTGACCTTTTGTAATAACACTTAGCTTAAAACACAAACATATTGTACAATAGTACAAAAATACTGTCTTTGTATTGTTATTCTGTAAGTTTTATTGTATTTCTAAAATTTTTTTTTTTACTTAAACTTTTTTATTAAAAACTAAGACACAAACACATACATTAGCCTAGACCTACACAGGGTAGGATCATTGTCACTGTCTTCCACCTCCACATCTTGTTCCACTGGAAGATCTTCAGGGGCAATAACATGCATGGAGCTGCCATCTGCTATGATAAAAATGCCGCCTTCTGGAATACTTCCTGAAGGACCTGCCTGAAGCTATTTCAGAACAAACTTATTTTTCGTAAATAGAAGGAGTACAGTCTTAAATAACAATGAAAACTATAGTATAGTAAATGCATAAACCAGTAATATAGTCATTTATCATTACCAAGTATTATGTACTATGCATAACTGTAAGTGTTACACTTTTTTCATGACTAGCAGTGCAGCAGGTTTGTGTATACCAGCATCATCAGCACAAACATGTGAGTAATGTATTGTGCTATGACTTTATGGCATCTACGAAGTCACTCGCCAATAGGAATTTTTCAGCTCCATTATAATCTTATGGAACCACTGTCATATATGCAATCTGTCATTGACAAGAAGTCATTATACAGCATATGACTGTATATTTAATTAGAACAAAAAACATGAATTTTGGAATCAGAAAAATCTCAGTTCTGACTCTCAGTCTTACCACTTAATGTCTTTCAGTCTTGAGGAAAGAAATGTAACTCCTCTCAATACCTCATAAAGTCATTGTGAGAAAAAGACCTAACACAAACTGGCCTACGTACACGGGTCCTTCCCCTTAACACACTGGATTAACAACTGTGACTCAAAGCCATTTATAGCCTTCTTGACATTGGGAAACATAGACATTAGATTCTCATTGATCAATCTGCAACTAGATGATTTGTGGATAAAGTATATGACTAAAAAGATATTTTTACCAAAACTACTGCATTTGAAATAAGCTTTCAGAAATATTTTCATACTTTTAAGGTATAAGGATTTTGGCAAATGAATGTGAAACTTCACACCAGTTTCATTGATTTTATGTGTTGTGAAACACTTGGCTCCACTCTATATATAACATACAAAGAATAAGATATGCCGAGACTTAGTTATTCTATACACCAATAATAAAGAAATGTTAGAGTTTTCTGCTGGATAAGAATTTGATAAAATTTTTAAAATTGTGTTCCTTGGCCAGGTGCAGTGGCACACGCCTGTAAACCAGCATTTTGGGAGGTCAAGGTGGGCAGATCACCTGAGGTCAGGCGTTCGAGACCAGCCTGGCCAACATGGCGAAATCCCGTCTCTACAAAAATACAAAAAAAATTAGCTGGGTGTGGTGGCACACCCTCATGCCTCAGCCTCCCGAGTAGCCCTGTAATCCTAGCTATTCGGGAGGCTGAGGCACGAGAATTGCTTGAGCCCAGGAAGCAGAGATTGCTCTAAGCTGAGATCGCACCACTGCACTCCAGCCTGGGCAACAGAGTGAAACTCCATCTCAAAAGAAAAAAAAAAAAAGTGTTCCTTTTAAAATTTTGTTCCTTTATTTTATAAATTTCGGAACAATAGATTTGAATGAAAAAATAAGTTATTTTGCTTTTGTTATTTATTTTCATCAACATTTAAGATGAAAGCTCATTAGCACTCCAAAACAAAAAAGAAAGAGAATCAGAAGAAATAATAGAAATGTCCATCAGTTTAAAGTTTGGTTAAATAAATTACAGTAAATCTATAAAATGAAACACTGGGCAGTGGTTAAAGTGATAATGTGAATCTAATTCTATTGGCATTGTATTGTATCTCCAATGAAGGGGACAAAGTAGCATATGTGATACTGACCCATTGATGTAAAATTATAGACTATGTTTCTCTGCTTCGTTCTCCCATAACCTTCAGTCCTTCCTCTCTCTTAGCACTCAAAACCCTTTATTGTTACTCCTAAGTTAATATTTAATGTCTCCTAGACTATAAGTTCCATGAGAGCAGGAATTTTATCTTTAGTCCCAGCACCTAGACCAGTGTCTGACACTGAATAAATAAAAGTCAATACAGAATTGTTGAATGAGTGGCAAGTCTAAGGAACTCAACTTGTCCTGGATGTTTCCTGATTCCTTTTCAAACTGCTGACAAATCATCCATCTGATTATCTGTTCTGGAAGTTTGGCTAGGACTAACATCAAGCCTGAGGAACTTTCCATTTTCTATCTGTGAGTGTTTGCATCCTTATTCATTTTGATTTTCAGTTTGCACAGCCTCTCTTGTTAAATTGTGAGCTTCAAAGACAGGGACCACGTTTAGTTTGTTCTTTTTTTTTTTTTCCATATGATACCCAGGAAAATGTTCTCCTTAAAGTGGAGGTCTGTTCAGTGATTAATTGATTTGGCAAGTACAGCCTCCTAAGAGAATAAATTATCAGTTGGGGTTATTATAATTTAATGACAATCATAAACACTCCCTTTCACAGGCCAGGCACTGTGGTTGGAGCTGTATGTCAATTAACTCCTTGATATGAAACCAACTAAGTGTCCATTGACCAATAAGTGGATAAAGAAAATGTGGTAGAAATACACCATGGAATACCACTCAGCCATTTAAAAAAAAAAATGAAATAATGTCTTTTGCAGCAGCTTGGATGGAACTGGAGGCCATTATTCCAAGTTAAGTAACTCAGGAATGGAAAACCAAATATCGCATGTTCTCACTTATAAGTGGGAGCTGAGCTATGAGGACACAAAGACATACAGAATGATATAATGGACTTTAGAGGCTGGGGGTGGGGGAGGTTGGGAAGGGGGTGAGGGATAAAAGACTACATATTGGATGTAGTGTATACTGCTTAGGTGACAGGTGCACTAAAAAAGTCAGAATTTACCACTGTAGAATCCATCCGTGTAACCAAAAACCACTTGTACCCCAAAATATATTGAAATTAAAATATATATATATATATATTTAAAAAGCATCTCCTTAATTCACAAATTCCTCTGAGGCTAGTACCACAAGTCCCATTTTACAGATGAGGCCCCTGAGGCTTCAGCAAGTCTCAGGGACTCACCACAGTCACCCATCTAGTAAGGAAAGGAACAAAGACGAATTTTTCCTAACTCCCAGGTCCATGTTCTTAATCACCTGTGACAATCCCCTCTCATATATCCAGCAGCTGATGAAGTCTTTCCCTCAGGAAACCAACTGGAGGTAGATATGTCATGTCCATCTCATATGCAATATGGTGAATCAGGAGGAGCCGTGAAAGGATGACTCACTAAGTTACTCTCCCAAATGTTTATGTTTGTTTAGACAGTGACCGTCATGACCACTAGGGAACATAGTTTTCTGATTCTGCTTCCCTTGCCTCCTGGACAAAAGCAGAGCAGAGAAGCAGCATAAACCGTGGTTGGGGGCCTAAGAATGATCCCCAACTCTCCACTGCAAACCACCAGGGTCAGGAAGCCTCCGGATAATGCCCTCTCCCTCTTGTTTCACTTTTTAAGTAGGTAAGCTGCACAGAGCAAAGCACTGTTGCGTATTTCCGGACAGCTTATTTCTCTTGCAGAGGAAGACTCATATACACAACTGAAAGGCATTAACATGGGAGAAGATTTGAGGAATTAGAAGGGTGGTGAAGGCGTGGTTGTCCAAAATCCCCCTCTGAGGAGAGATGATTGATATCTGGCTGTCATTCCAAGAAGCTTCTGGTTGACAAATACTGTCTGGTATTTCCTTGCTGATTTCTTACCCTCACACCGCAAGCCCTGATCACTGTGGTCCACTGTGCAAATGCAAATTACCTGAATCAGGCTGCTGGTGACTCACCAACTCCGCTTTAAAGCAACATCAGGTTCAACGCAGTGACAGCTCAGCGTAGAAGCCATGGCTCGCAGACACTGCTTCTCCTACTGGTTACTGGTCTGCTGGTTGGCGGTAACTGTGGCAGAAGGTAAGGGTTTTGCTTTTATTCTACTGTGGGTCCACTAATTAATAAGTTGTAGGAAAAGACAAAATTGGCTCCATGATTATACATTCCCATAAACTGGAAATATTTACCTCACCTTCCATCAGCCTGTGTGGTTAAAGAGAAGGAGGTTGGATTTTGTCACCTGAAGACCTTGGTCCTCGTCTCGGCAATAGCCCTGTGACTTTAGACACGCTTAACATCTCTGAGTATCAGACTCTCATATGTGAAGTGACAATATTAATAATATCCGTCGTTATGGGGTTTGCAAGGACCAAATGAGCTATCATCCGTGAAAAACTCTCTAAGCTAAAAACGCCGTACAAATACTAGTTATTACAGTTACAAAGCTAACAATTCCACTTTGAATTACAGCACCGTCCACTTTCTATCTCCAGCAGCATAGTAATTTGCACATGGTGGGTATTTAGTCTTTGTTCATTGCTTAATTAATCACATCTATTGAGCTGCATTTTGGTGCCACAGAGGTGGACACAGGTTTCTTTCTTTAGGATTATATTAGATTCAATTTCTCAACTGTTCCTATTCTGTTTCTTTGTTCCCACTGCAAAAATGTGTCCTGAGCCTTAGAATTGTTTTGCAAACCCCTAGGGAAAGAAAAGAAGAGGCTGGAGAAGGGACGAAAAGAGGGAAATACAAGGGGAGGAAATCTTGGGGAGCCTAGATTTAACCTTTTTTCAGTTTATTTTAATTCCAAAACTAGATGCTGTTTTGGGAAAATGGACGTAGGAGTCAAACAGAGCCCTTCGCCCCTTTCACGTGTCTTGGGGAGGGGGCTTTGCAGGGGCTCAGCCAAACCCTGCTCATCCCCAGACAGATTCCCTGTTACCATCCCTCAGAGCTCACAATAGACAGGAGAAGGGGAGAGACATCAGAGCTGGTCATGGAATACACAGAAACCCCGTGATGCAACCTCTGCACGTACTCTGGCAATCAGGGGGCAGAGCATAGATTATGAACAAAACCTGCCCCCCATATCCCAAGACAAGGTCCCCAAGCCTCAGCTGCTAAAAGTGACATCTAAAAGAAGCATCATAAAACAAAACTAGCCACCTGCCATTTTCTCTGCAAAAAGTGAACGGCTCTTCAGGAGGCTTTGTAAACACATAGCTAAACAAGTTATAATGAGATTAGAGATTTATTTTATTCATATCTTAAAAACACCCACTGAGGCTGGGTGCAGTGGGCTCACACCTGTAATCCCAGCACTTTGGGAGGCCGAGGAGGGCAGATTACCTGAGGTCGGGAGTTCGAGACCAGCCTGACCAACATGGAGAAATCCCATCTCTACTAAAAATACAAAATTAGCCAGATGTGGTGGCGCATGCCTGTAATCCCAGCTACTCGGGAGACTGAGGCAGGAGAATTGCTTGAACCCGGGAGGTGGAGGTTGTGGTGAGCAGAAATCGTGCCATGGCACTCCAGCTTGGGGAACAAGAGTGAAACTCTGTCTCAAAAAACAAAACACTCGTTGCACCCATTGAAACATCAGATTTGATTTCTGAATTTGACTCACGTTTCCCTACAATCCCTTGGAGTCCTTCAAATGTAGCTTCATTCTATCCCTGCAGCCCTGCTTCCAGTCCATCGCTCACTCACGCACACCCTGGGTCTGCCAAACAAGGTCATGTGTGGCTCTCCAAACTCACCCTCTTCTCACTGCTGCACAGCAGCAACCACAGCTGCTTCCTCCTCTTGCTTTCACCTGTTTGTTGCAATTCTGCTTTAAGGCACAACATTTAAATGCCACTATGATTTTGCCTTTACAAAGTCTTTGTTAAGATGTAATCATTTAAAAATTGCAATTTCTCTTTCTGACACCTTTGACTTCTTACAGCTATTTGTGCATCACCTACGGCACGTACAGCATCTGCTTTGTACTGCAGATCCCCGGCTTCACAGCATCTGCCCACTCCTTGAGCTCAGGCTTTTAATCTTAATCATCTCTGCATTTGCCACAGCCCCTAATGTGGTAACCTGTACCTTGTTGAAACGACTTGACTCACAGGGTAGAATTGAAAGAGGCCTGTCTGATACTTTCTAGGCTCTGATATTTTGTCTGTGAAATCAGAGATTTGACCAAGATAGTCATTCTCTGAGTCTACAAAATAAATTGAGTTTTGCAGTTATTGTGAGTAAATCCATCATAGAACTTATTTTTCTTTCTGACTCAAGTCTGAAAGCACATGAGAATTTTTCTAAGACTCCATGAGCCATGTAAGGGAAGAACTGCACACTTAAACTTCAAGTAGAAAGCTGACTTCTCTTAAAATCAGTGTAGTTCACTGCAAGCCAGCTTTGTCTGCCCAAATAACCACAGAGTATAGGTAATTATAAAAAAAAAAAGGTATTTCATCATTACCTTTTTTTAAAAAAGTACTTGTTTTTAAAGTAGTTGTTGGTATGCTATGAATTTCATGTCTAGACTATAATAAACCACCTTAAAACTGATATTCAAATTCCAAGCAATATTTTGCTTTGTTTCTTCTATTATACTCTATTTTTTTGTTTGTTTGTTTGTTTGAGACGGAGTCTCCCTCTGTTGCCCAGGCTGGAGTGTGTACAGTGGCACCATCTCAGTTCACTGCAACCTCCACCTCCTGGGTTCAAATGATTCTCGTGACTCAGCCTCCGGAGTAGCTGGGATTACAAGTGTCCGCCACCATGCCTGGCTACTTTTTGTACTTTTAGTAGAGATGAGGTTTCACCATGTTGGCCAAGCTGGTCTTGAACTCCTGACCTTAAGTGATCTGCCTGGCTTGGCCTCTCAAAGTGCTGGGATTATAAGTGTGAGCCTCCACGCCTGGCCATTTTTTAATATAAATTATTATTACAGATTTTCTGGGACTGAAATTAAATACTCACTGAACTCCACGAAAATATACAGAGAGGAACATTCAAGGTCAGCCTGACCATTTAATTCATCAAGTATTTACTGAGTACCACTATAAGCCAGGGACTATTCTAGGTGCTGGAGACACAGACAGTAACCAAGAGACAACAGTCCCTGTCATTGGGGAGGTCCTATTCTAATAACATGTGTCCCCAATAGCCCTATCTTTAATGCCTAAGAAAATGGGGCTCAGGCTAACAGAATGTTTCTATAACATTCGAGATTAGTAACCGTAGCTAACACTTATTAAGTGCAGACTGTACATCCAGCAATGTTCTCAGCACTTTATATATTTTGTTTCCGATAACACTCACAAAGGGATGATGAGATAGGTAGTATTATTTTCTTCATTTTACAAAGGAGGAAAATGAGACTCAGAGAGGTTAAGGAATCTATCTGTGTTCACCTAGTTATTAAATGGCAGAGCTCAGGGAGCCTGGCTCTAGAGCCTATCCTTTTAAACACTTTGCTGTTCTGCCTCTCAAAATGTTTTTAATCTGCGTTTAAATATTTGACCTACTTTGGTCTTATTAAGCTTGCAGAAGAGCTCTCATCTTTGACATCCAGTGCCTTTGAGAGCATGTCAGTATGTTACATAAGGGGAAATATTTGCTTATTATTCAACACACTACTCCTGAGAAGTAGGAACTTGGTAACTTTGCAATTATAGAAACTGGGATTTCTCTCAATCAATTCAATTGTACTGGAGACGCTGTGCTAGGGACGAGGAGGCAGCAGTCTACAAGACGGTCACGTAGATCTTTCAGTGGAGTAGGCATATAACCACTGAATAATAATCACACAGCTGAAGAGTATGATGAAAGTGGACTCACAGGGCGCTACGAAAGCATGTTGCAAAGGGTTTTAACCAAGCTTCTGGGTAGGAAAGGCCTCCCTGACAAAAAAAAAAAGAGAGAGAGAGAGAGAGACTTGAAATTGAATAGGAGTCAGCCAGGCAAAGAGTTCAGGAAATGGTGCTCTAGGCATCTGCAACTACCTTTTCAGAAGCCCAGGACAATTGATGACTTTTGCCAAAGTAGCTTTTGGAGAGTGGAGGAGGCAGGGTTAGATTCCAATGGATTAAATAGGGGGAGAAGCAGAATCAGTAGGTGTACAGACTTTAAAGAGAGAGGAGGAGGAACCAAAGAAGTTCATGGCAGATTACCTCAGCTTTCTCTCTGGAATATGAAGCTGATAAATCAACTTAGAGAGGTAGAGAGCGTTTCAAAGCAAATTCTTCAGATGAATGAAGAATGAAAATTTTGAGGGAAATTTGAGGAGGTAGCAAAGGTTTAGAAGATAAGGAACAGAGAAGAACAAAGATAAAAGAATTAATGAGTGTTAGATCAGCTGACATCAGAGACCATAGATGGCATAAACCCACTTTCTCAGATGTGTGGCCATAACTTTGTAAGATGTGACAGGTTCCCACACCAATCACTATTACTCCCACATTTTAGGACACTTGTGCTAGCTAACTGGTGACCCAATAGAATCACCATAGGTCTAGTTTGTTTGGAAGAATGTGGTTTTATGTGGTCCTGCCCACATTCCTGGGTAAGTGATTGAAGCAAGCTTATACCTTGATCTTACACCCTTGAAAATTCCCAGAAAAAGAGAGCACTGAACAATACTGGACATCCCAGAGTCAGAGAAAACCTGCCTTGCCGGCTCTGAAACCCAATTGTTAGAGGAGGATTTAGAGAATATCTTCAGGTTTCTAGAAATGAGATGAGCACAAGAGGCCAGTGGGTAGGTAGTGTTTAACAGCTGGAGCATAGTTAACCTAGTGGCAAAGCTCAAGGCCTCCTTAAGCCTGAGCTGACAGCAAAATGTCAAGATGGGGCTTAAAACAGAGGCCAGTCAGGCCGGGCGCGGTGGCTCACGCCTGTAATCCCAGCACTTTGGGAGGCCGAGGCAGATGGATTACGAGGTCAGAAGATCAAGACCATCCTGGCTAACATGGTGAAACCCCGTCTCTACTAAAAATATAAAGAAAAAAAGAAAAAACTTAGCCGGACGTGGCGGCACGTGCCTGTAGTCCCAGCTACTCGGGAGGCTGAGGCAGGAGAATGGCGTGAACCCAGGAGGCGGAGCTTGCAGTGAGCCCATGGCGCCACTGCACTCCAGGCTGGGCGACAGAGCGAGACTCCATCTCAAAAAAAAAAAAAAAAAAAATTCAAAGGCTAATTTCTCTTCTAGCGACTGGATTCTTGGCAGAATGTCTTCCTGTAAGGTTCAGAACTTACCAGAAAAAAAGCGACTAATGTGGGATTTGGTCATTTTCTGTAAAGTGTCTCAATCTAGTTTCAGTTACAGAATTTCAATGTACCCTGAGTAGCTATGGGAGAAGGGGTTAGCATTTTGTTCGAGGAACAGACACCCATTCAAGCTAGCTTTAGGAACAAGTAGAGCTGGAGGTGGATTATTATAAGGATATCTCCAAGAAACTTAAGAATAGCTAGCGCTCCCTGAAAAGTCAAAAACTGGCCGGCCATGGTGGCTCACGACTATAATTCCAGCACTTTGAGAGGTCCGAGGCAAGTGGATCACTTGAGGTCAGGAGTTCGAGACCAGCCTGGCCAACATGGCGAAACCCCATCTCTACTAAAAATACAAAAATTAGCTGGGTGTGGTGGTGGGCGCCTGTAATCCCAGCTACTCAAGATGCTGGCACAGGAGAATCGCTTGAACCCAGGAGGTGGAGGCTGCAGTGAACCGAGATCGCACCACTGCACTCAAGCCTGGGCAACAGATGGAGACTCCGTCAAAAAAAAAAAAAAAAAAAACACCAAGGCCGCTGCTCCCAACATCACTCTGTTACCACAAGGCCTCTGGTGTCTTCTGTCCCAGAGGCCTTCCCTATTTTGCTGCTTCTATGTGCAGACTGGCTTCTCTGCATTCTCAATATTCCGAAGGCCAAAACCTGACACTCCAGCCCCTGCCCTACACCTTCCACTGACGTCTTCCACTGTAACTCAATTCTCAAGTGAGAATCTGATTGGTCACTGACCAGCCAATGAATGAGTTGAGTGTCAATCAGTGGTCCAATCAGCCATAACCAGAAGGTGTATAGGACTGGCAACTGACATTTCCAGGGTTCATGGGTGAAACAGAATATGTAGAAGGGACTACGGACATAGGCAAATAACAAGCATATCCAATACAGCCAAGAAACCTGAATTAAACTGTCCCAAAGGAGAGGGGAATCTAGTCCTTGGGCGGAGGTGGTAAGTGCCTCAGCACTCTCAACTTCCTGTGAGAAGTTCTTCTTTTTTTGAGACAGAGTTTGGCTCTTGTTGTCCAGGCTGGAGTGCAATGGCATGATATCAGCTCACAGCAACCTCCGCCTGCCAGGCTCAAGCAGTTCTCCTGCCTCAGCCTCCCAAGTAGCTGGGATTACAGGCATGTGCCATCGTGCCTGGCTAATTTTTGTACTTTTAGTAGAGACGGGGTTGCTCCATTTTGGTCAGGCTGGTCTCGAACTCCTGACCTCAGGTGATCTACGCACGTAAGCCTCCCAAAGTGCTGGGATTACAGGGGAAGTTCATTTTATCATCATTCACACGGGCAACCCTTTCCAGGCAGTATATGTAAGCCTCTAAGGGAGTGAAGGAACAATTTTCTAAAGAAAAGATTACTTTTTCATAGCCAATTTGATTCAATGATACAGTCAAGGAAGACTATGACACTTGAGTTTGATCCAAATTTCTTCTGAAAAGATAATTGCATCCTGGCTCTCAGTGCTCTTTCTCCTGCTGCTTGTAGATGGCCCCTCCCTTCCCCTAGGAAATTATTTCACTGCTTGGGCAGTTGAAGCAGAACTTTTGGATTAATGGCCTTTGGGGGCAGTTGTTTTGATTTTCTTAACATTAAGTTCCTTTTTTCTACTGAATTTTCTTTATTTAGTTGTAATTTACATGCAATAAAATTCTTTTTTTTTTTTTTTTTTGAGATGGAGTCTCACTCTATTACCCAGGCTGGAGTGCAGTGGCACAATCTCGGCTCACTGCAAGCTCTGCCTCCCAGGTTCACGCCATTCTCTTGCCTCAGCCTCCCCAGTAACTAGGACTACAGGCACCCACCGCCACGCCTGGCTAATTTTTTTGTATTTTTAGGAGAGACAGGGTTTCACCATGTTAACCAGGATGGTCTCGATCTCCTGACCTCGTGATCTGCCTGCCTGAGCCTCCCAAAGTGCTGGGATTACAGGCCTGAGCCACCACACCTGGCCAAAATTCATACATTTTAAAAGTACAGCTTGATCACATTTTACATATGGCTACATATAAACATGTGTATGTGTACAAACATATGTATGTACACATATATGTGTGTTTATATACAAATTATATGTGTGTGTGTACACCTGTGTGTATACATATAGATATATAGATAACCATATCTATGTAACAACCACCCAGATCAAGATATGAAACATTTCTAAAGAGTTCCCTGGCTACACTTTCTGCTAAAAAATACCTATCCTTGCCCTAAGTTGAATTATTATTTTGACCTTTTTTTAAACTATAGATTAATTTTGCTTGCTCTTGAACTTCATGTAAAGGGAGTTGTACAGTATGTACACTTTTGTGTCTAACTTGTATTGCTCAACATTCAAGGGATGTATCCACGTTGTAGGTATTAGTAGTTCTTCCTTTTCACTGCTGAGTACTATTTCATTGTATGAATATACACAGTTTCTTCATGCATTCCTCTGTTGATGGACACTTAGATTGTTTCCATTTAGGTTATTATGAATAATGCTACTGTGAACACCCCTGAACAAGTCTTTTTATGGACATAAACATTCATTTCTCCTGGGTAAATTCCCCACAGTGGAAATGCTGGGTCATCAGGTGTGTCTGTGTTTCATTTCATTGAACGCTGGCAGTTCTTTCAAATATACATTGAGATTTCTCTAATTCTCTCTTCCCATCTTTCTCCTCTGCCACCACTCTAAACCACCCTTCTGCTTCTGTTACCAGACCTGTTTCCTGACTTGCGTTTTCCTCTCCACAGGACAAGAAGAGGTATTTACCCCTCCTGGAGACTCACAAAATAACGCAAACCCTACCGACTGCCAGATCTTTACACTCACCCCTCCACCCGCCACGAGGAGTCCGGTCACAAGGGGCCAGCCCATCACAAAGACACCTAGGTGTCCCTTCCATTTTTTTCCACGAAGGCCCAGAATCTATTTTAGGTTTCCAAACAGACCTTTCCTGCCTTCAAGGTGTAACCACCGTTTTCCGTTCCAGCCATTTTATTGGCCACACCGTCGCCTTACTCCTTATAGATATTTCCCCAGAAGAAGACTCCAGAGGGGAAGTTCATCTGAGGAAAGCTGAGAGGGAAGAGAAACCCAAACATACTGAAGCAAAAAAAAGCCAATCCTTCAGAAAAAGCAGCAAAAAGATTTCTGTTTTATCTTTCCAAACTAACTATTGGATCTGAAGATTAAATATCCTAAACACCACTGACTAGAAACTGTTCTCTTTGTCAGCAGTGAAGATATTGGATCACAGGTTATTGATGTTTGCAAAATTGGACAATAACCACGTTATTTTTATCCTCAACTTCTTATGGTCACAGGATATTTATGCGAATAAAATCTTAAAATGGGTAGCTCTAGTAATTCCTATCCATACTGAGATGCTGAAAGAATCCATCTCCTCCTCTAAATTAAACAGCATTTAAATAAATTGAGATCATTATAAACCACATGAAGACACTGATGACACCGTTTTTATACTCATTGGAAAAAGTACAGAGCAAGGTGCAATGACAAAGTAAACTTTAAAAAAAAAATTATAAAGCTTAAAGCAATTAAAAAGTTATGGAGAGTCTGACTGTAGATAATACTTTAAAGATATAAACTTGACTTGTCTAACCCAAATAATTATTATTATTATTTTCTTGGAGATAGAGTTTCACTCTTGTTGCCCAGGCTGGAGTGTAGTGGTGCTGTCTCGCCTCACTGCAACCTCTGCCTCCCGGGTTCAAGTGATTCTCCTGCCTCAACCTCCCAAATAGCTGGGATTATAGGCGCCCGCTACCACACCTGGCTAATTTTTTGTATTTTTAGTAGAGACAGGGTTTCACCATGTTGGCCAGGCTAGTCTTGAATTCCTGACCTCAGGTGATCCACCCACTTCGGCCTCCCAGAGTACTGGGATTGCAGGCGTGAGCCACTGTGCCCAGCCCCAAATAATTACTTTTAAACTATGGTATCTAAATTTACTTTAATGTTGACTTCAACTGATGCAAATTAATTTGATAATTTTCTCACTGTTTACCATTATCATTACATAGATGCTGACTAAAATGATAAACTTCCCCTCAAACTTTTAACATAATTCCAGGTTCAAAAAGCCTGATTAAACTGCTACAAGAATATTCTGGTACCTCTAGAACTCTACAGACATAAGTTCACTCAACCCTTGGAACCTTATATTCTCAGGGTGCAATATGAGAAACAAATCCCACAGATTGCATTCATTGGTTATTTGTTTTGGCCACTCTGTAAAACACAGCTTCCTGTTTATGCCACTTATCTTGCCTGTAACATAAGAACTTTAGTTCTGCATATGTGGTCAGTGGCTTGCACTTTTTCCTCCCAAGATCTATGTGCAAAAGTTGCTGCTACTACTGCTGCTAAAAAAAAACAGAAAAAAAAAATCAGCACGAAGACATGAAAGGACTTTGGGAATGGTTGCCCTGAAAAAGAAAAGAGAGATAAAATCATCATGCTATGTTTCTTTGCTTTATTAAAATGGTCAAAAAAGAGGCCGGGCGTGGTGGCTCAAGCCTGTAATCCCAGCACTTTGGGAGGCCGAGACGGGTGGATCACGAGGTCAGGAGATCGAGACCATCCTGGCTAACACGGTGAAATCCCATCTCTACTAAAAAATACAAAAAACTAGCCGGGCGAGGTGGCGGGCGCCTGTAGTCCCAGCTACTCGGGAGGCTGAGGCAGGAGAATGGCGTGAACCCAGGAGGCAGAGCTTGCAGTGAGCCGAGATCCGGCCACTGCACTCCAGCCTGGGCGACAGAGCGAGACTCCGTCTCAAAAAAAAAAAAAAGAAAAAAAAAACTATTTAATTCACGTTCTAGAAAATATTCATTGTAAGAACAGATTTTTGCTTCAAATTTACAGGCTTCAATAAAAACCTACTTGAAAACGTCATCAGAAAAACAAAACAAAACTATATTTTGAAATAAACCCTACCTGCTCTCTTTTTTTGGTTGATGGGGACATACCAGAAAAGGGCCAGCTTCGGGCAAACTTGAAGACAGATAAAGGTTTGTATTTGAAACCCACCTCCCCTTCTGACTCTCCTCCTTTATTCTGGCATGTCACCACTCACCTAGGTACTCGGTGTCAGGCAAGATAAGTGGCATAAACAGGAAGCAATGTTTACAGAGTGGCCAAAAACTAACCTGCCTTTGACTGGGCTTTCTCTTCCCAAATGTTAGGACTTTTGCAATTCAAAATTTAATTGTTCTGAAATCTAGTCCTTGAAGGACTCGCTAAGTAATATGTAAGCCTCAGGTAAACTAAGACAAACTAATGATGGATGAACAGCTTCAATGCATTAATCACTGTATGTATTATAGAAGGCAGGCTATTCCTATAGAGTTTCAGGGTAAGGGCCTTTTCAACATAGCTCTAGGTAAAATTTCATTATTCCTCACCCTGGAACACACATAGAATATGAGAAGCAGCCCACACCTGCAATTAAAAGTATAGGCCTAGGAGTGCAAAAGGCTTATTTGTGGGGAGGGAAGTATGTGCTTTTGTGACTCAGAAAAATTTGCATCATTCCTTTGGATTCATAAGTTTGCTTTTTAAATACAGAGATTCCTAGCAGGTTTATTGAATTAGAAGGATAATGTGGAACAACTAATACCTCCAAGTGAATTAGTTCCTCAAATGAGTTCCTTTCAACTAGCTGTGTTTGAAGCAATGGGAGTCTGTGGGAAGGGTATAATAACTCTTCAATGCATTTTTTTTCTTTGAGGCAGGAATTACAACAATAGTATTGTAAGTCTAAAGTTCTAATTATGCCCAAAACACATAGCCTGAATCTAATAGTCAAAAATAAACTCAAATTGAGGAACATTTGCAAAACCGGCATCTTCAAAAGTGTAGATGTCATGGAAGACAGCGGTTAAAGGTGATTGAAGTGGCATGACAATTCAGTGTAATACGTGACCTCCAATTAGATCCTGGAGGTCAGAAGGGGAGGGACAGGACATTTTTGCATAACTAGGACAACTGGCAAATTCTAAATTTGGACCATGTATTAGGTAATAGCATTCTGTCAATGTTAAACTTTCTGAATTTCATGATTGTGTAAGAGAATATTCCTGTTCTTAGGAAACAGATTTTGAAGCATTTGAGGGTAAATAAGTATGATTTCTGCAACTAAATCTCAAAAGATTCAGGAAAAATATGCATATATATGCTGATATGTGCATATATATGACACATAGATACATAGACCTATAGATAGACAGATAGGAAGTAATAAACGACATGTGGCAAAATGTTTTTCTAGTTGATGTATTTGACTAAAGTGTATATGGGAGTTGTTTGTACTATTCTTGCAGCTCTTCTAGAGTTTGATATTATTTCAAGAACAATATTTAAAAAGCATTGTTGAAAACAACACAAAAAATTAATCTCAGATGTATCCATGCCCTTGAGGATAAGTTAAAAATGAAATCCCATTCCCATTTTCCCACACTGACAACAGCCTTTCGGTGACTCACATTGGTTATAAGAGTGATGGGGCATGGAGACTGGCTGAGCTGAGACTCAGATGAGCACTATTATTGGGAGAAGAGTAGTTTTTAATTGGGGGAGGAAGAAAAAGTTTAGCTGGAAGTTTGGGTGCAAAGGAAGAAAAGAAATGAACTAGCATGTACCTCCCATGACCACCACCACCAGCCAGCCCCCTGGGTTGAATTTGAGCCTCCATAGTTGGCAGTGAGCACCAGAAGCTGATGTCAGTGTTTTAAGAGACACTGGGGGCCTCTGAACATAACAGTATTGATTTGGGGTCAAGATGACACAGTGTGGCACAGATATGAGGGAAGGCCGTTAGCTCCACCTCTGCACAGAACCCACTCCTACTCCGGCACCCTGCAAAACAGCAGCAACTTTTGGACAATTAGGAAATAGCAGCACCTTATATTGAACACTGGTCTCATCACAAAGGATAGTGTCCACCTAAGCAGTGAGGAAGTGCCTTGCAGGGATTTGTGGGCAGCACGTGTCCACAAGAGACAGCTTAGCCAAAAGGATATGTAGACTGTGTGGGGTCTGCTACTGAACAATAGGTTTGTGATACATTTAAACCGTGGTCAACAATGGAGTTTCTAGGTTCCTGATTAAAAATGAAAAATGTTTAAAGAGGCTACTTATTCTATAAATGTTACCTCATGTTATTTGAAAAATTATTTGAGGAGGTCTGCTAGTTTGCTAGGGCTCCCATAACAAAATATCAGACTGGGTGGCTTAAACAACAGAAATTTACTTCTGGAGGCTAGAAGTCTTAAGATCAAAATGCCATCAGGATTGCTTTTGATGTAGGGCAGGCGAGCCCCAAAGTGGGGCTTAGCCTGTGAAGGTTCTTGGCTTTGCCTAGGAAAAAATTCAAGGCCAAGCCAGAGGTAGAAGGAAACAGCTTTATTGAAGAGGCAGCGTTACAGCTTTGTGACGGCTCCTGCAGAGCAGGGCTACCCTGTAGGCAGAGAGTAGTATCCCAGGGCAGTTTTGCAGTCATATTTATACCCATTTGTAAGTGCATGCAGATTAAGGGGTAACTTATGCAGAAGTTCTAGTAAATTTTGTGTCACTGGGTCAGTGCCATGGAAAGGGGCAGTAACTCGTGGGTGTTGCTGAGTGGTGACAACGTGCTAGCAGCCCTCACTCACTCTCAGTGCCTCCTTGGCCTCAGGGTCCACTCTGGTCACGCTCGAGGAGCCCTTCAGCTCGCCACTGTGCTGTGGGGGCCCCTCTCTGGGGTTTGCCAAGGCCGAAGCTGACTCCCTCTGCTTATGGGGAGGTGTGGAGCGGGAGGCGCAGGCAGGAGGCGGGGCTGCGCGTGGCTGGTTCGGGTTCCACGTGGGTGTGGGCTTGGGGCCCCTCACTTGGCGGTGGCTGGCCAGCACCTGCTGGGCTTGATCAGGGGATGAGCTCCCTCTGGGCTGCTGGAGTGCCCGGGCTAGGTGACACAGAATCCTGCGGTGAGTGCTGGTGAGAGGTGAAGCCAGCTGGGCTTCTGGGTCAGGTGGGGTTTTGGAGAACTTTTGTGTCTAGCTAAAGGATTGTAAACGCACCAATCAGCACTCTGTGTCTAGCTAATCTAGTGGGGACTTGGGGAACTTTTGTGTCTAGCTAAAGGATTGTAAATGCACCAATCAGCACTCTGTGTCTAGCTAAAGGTTTATAAACTTTTTTTCTCTAACGGGAAAATAGAACACAGGGAGCCACTCAGTTTGCTCCCGACACCCCTTTCTAGCCGCTCACTGGAGCTCCCTTGGCAAGTACTCTAGGAGTATGGGGAAATGAAAACAACAAATTCACACACCTTTTTAACATACACAACCAGTTCTGTCTACCCAACCAAGGTATATTCTTCTTATGTGGAACATCGACCTATATCTGCCTCCCCACTAACTGGACAGACACCTGTACCTTAGTCCTTTTAAGTCCAACACTAGCATTGCCCCAGGAAATCAGACCTTATCAGTACCCTCAAAGCTCAAGCCCGTCAGCGCAGAGCCATACAACTAATACCCCTACTTATAGGGTTAGGAATGGCTACTGCTACAGGAACTGGAATAGCCAGCTTATCTACTTCATTATCCTACTACCACACACTCTCAAAGGATTTCTCAGACAGTTTGCAAGAAATAACGATGTCTATCCTTACTTTACAATCCCAAATAGACTCTTTAGCAGCAGTGACTCTCCAAAACCGCAGAGGCCTAGACCTCCTCACTGCTGAGAAAGGAGGACTCTGCACCGTCTTAGGGGAAGAGTGTTGTTTTTACACTAACCAGTCAGGGATAGTATGAGATGCCGCCCAGCATTTACAGGAAAAGGCTTCTGAAATCAAACAACGCCTTTCAAACTCTTATACCAACCTCTGAAGTTAGACAACATGGTTTCTCCCCTTTCTAGGTCCCATGGCAACCATCTTGCTGTTACTCGCCTTTGGACCCTGTATTTTTAAATTTCTTGTCAAATTTGTTTCCTCCAGAATCAAGGCCATCAAGCTACAGATGGTCTTACAAATGGAACATCAAATGAGCTCAACTAACAACTTCTACCAAGGACCCCTGGACCAACCCACTGGCCCTTCCACTGGCCTAAAGAGTTCCCCTCTGCAGGACGCTACAACTGCAGGGCCCCTTCTTTGCCTCTATCCAGCAGGAAGTAGCTAGAGCAGTCATCAGCCAAATTTCCAACGGCAGTTGGGGTGTCCTATTTAGAGGTGGGATTGAGAGGTGACAACATGCTAGCAGCCCTCGCTCACTCTTGGCGCCTCCTCAGCCTTGGCGTCCACTCTGGCCATGCTCAAGGAGCCCTTCGGCCTGCCGCTGCACTGTGGGGGGCCCTCTCCGGGGCTGGCCGAGTGGGGAGCTGGCTCCCTCTGCTTGTGGGGAGGTGTGGAGGGGGAGGTGTAGGCGAGAGCTGGGGCTGTGTGCAGCACTCTCCGGCCGGCAGGGGTTCCAGGTGGGTGTGGGCTCAGTGGACCTGCACTTGGCAC